ATGACTGATTTGAAGTGAAATTTTTATGCTTTTCATTAAATTGAGCATGGCTACTTGAAATTTAATTGATTGTCCTGATGATTTGAAAGTGATTGGTGAATTATGATTTTTTTGTTAACTTCTTCCTGTTTTGTCTCCGATGTGGTTATGTTATTAATGATCCTGCTAGTTGGGGTTAAATGCTAGCACATGTCGACATGTTATTGATAGAACCAGTTCGTGCAAGTGTAGCCTGCCAGTGGGAGGTTTAAACACTGGCCATGACCTATAGAGGAGACGTCTATTTCATTCCCATACTGTATCCATTTTTCGTGCTTACACTTGTTGGCATGCTATAAGTTTAATAAAGGGCACTCCATATTTACTTACTGAGGTTATCTCATAGTTTTTCCTTGTCCACCATTTCAGGAAGCGAAACCGAGGACGGGGAAACCACGGGAAGTGACGAGTTAGAAGGCTAGCCATTTCGAGATTGATATAGATTTAGATATAAATCATGATCTTGTAAACCAGATTGTATTTGGAGATTTTATGATATCAGAGAAATTTTAAAATTTGATCTTCAGATTTTGTGGTATCAGATTGTGATATGGTTAAGTTCCGAACCTTGTGCATTTGTGGGACCCTCTCACAAATGCACGGCTCCCACAAATGCACAGCGTCTGTCGTGTCTCGAATTTGGGTTTTGAGACGTGACATTGGGTATTGTTGATTACATGAGAAAAATCTAATTTGAGTTCGGATCTTACTAAAAAACCATCATCTAGCCAGATTTTGTATCTAATTTTTATTGAATTTGATTTTATGTGATTTTATTTTATTTTACTTTTCCCTATTCTTCTATATAGTTTTGCAAATTAGGATTTGGGAATCATGTTAAAACCTTTTTTAAGGTTAAATTCAACAAATAATTTATTAACTATGTGGGTTATACCAATTTAGTTAGAAACAATTTTTCTCTCAAAGTGAACTATGAATTATCAATTTTGTATCAAAATGGATTATTTTACCAACATCTGCTAATTGCACTAATGGAATTCTTTCTAGCTGCTAACATGGCACCACCTAATCCACCCTTGCTTGCCACATGGCCAAAAACACAGAGTGAGTGTAGAGAAGTTGCCTTTAAACTTTTGAAAAATGTTTAATATTGTACATTTTTTTGTTTTGTTTTTTTTTTCTACTTTTTGTTTTTAAAGTTTAAATTCTATCAAATGTAGCAATCAATTAAGATAATAATTTTTATTTACATTAATTAAGATTATAATTTTAATTTATAATAATCAATATTATAATTTAAATTTTATCATTTCCTAAAAAACTTAATATCATTATTAAATAATACTTTTTTCATTAATTTGTATAGAAAATTAAAAAGTTTTAATTTTATTTTTGACATCAATAACACTTGCATGATTTTAATTAAGGAATTAATAAAATTAAAATCAACTTTTCTAGGCAAGTTTAATTATGTACTAAATGTTCATTTAATTAAATTGAATTTTGAAAGGGTTTACTCGTTAAAAATATTAACATTTAATAATGAAATTAAGTTTTTTAAAAAATAATAAAATTTAAATTATGATATTAATTATTGTAAATTTAAATTATAATCTGGATTAATGTAATTCAAAATTATCGTATTAATTAATTATTATAATTGATAAAGAATTTAAATTTCAAAAATGAAATATTGCAAAACACAACAGTATATGTGCTATATTCAATATTTTTAAAAGTTTAGCCGGTAACTTTGTCTATACTAGTTGGGTCTGTGTTTTGGCCACATGGCATGTAAGTAGCGGATTAGCTAATGCCATTTCAGCTGCTAGAAAGAATTCTATTAGTCTAATTAATGGATATTTGTCAAATAGATTATGTTGAGATAAAATTGATAGCTGATAGATTACTTTGAGAGAAAATTTTGTTTTAGGCTAAACTAATATAAAGTATATAGTTATCAGATTATTTATTAAATTTAACTTTTTTTTAATGTTAAAAATATTTTTTAAAAGAGAAAGGTCACTCCAAATGTATCACATTGGTTTGTCTCACACACGTAAAAAATGCCCTTCATCCTGTCCTCGCAAACATGGGGAGCCCCACTAAATGTATTAAAATGTTCAACCTCATTTATTATTATTTTTTTTGATAAATAAATTTTATAATATTACATGAAGGATAATTCATTGGATGAAATGTAATGGGGAACACAAGAAGGGTACTCCATCCCTCAAAATTACATAACATTATCTAATTAAGAAGGATTAAGAAAGATCTAGCAACTATCCTAGTCTTATGAGGCTGGAGAGTGGTGAGAAGACAGAGATTGAAAGAATTTGAGATAAATCAGATCAATGAGGAGAGGAATAACTAAAGAAGTGAGGAACGAAGGAACAAAGAACTGTCGAATCGAAAGATGGAGAAACTGAGGTTTGAGCAGGTGATGTCGAGAGGAACTAAAAAGGCTGGGGGCACTGTTGAGAGGAAAGATGCGACAGTCATATCATTTTCGGTGGCTAGCGTTTGTGAGTTTGGGGGAATTGGGATACTTGGGTAGTGTTGGTAATAGGTTTTCCTTTTTTTTTTTTTTTAGTAATATTATAATTTATAAAAATATAAATTTATAATTTTTTTATAAGAATAGTAGCAGATTAGTCTCAATTTAAAAAGAAATAAAATTTTAATTTTAAAATATGTCATTTCATTTAATTAAAATTTAGTTTAAAATTTAAAATTTCATTTTATTAAATGTTGATTCTTACATTTAGAAATGAAAATTCAATACAAAATTAAAAAATTTATCTTATTAAATATAGATATATAGATTTGAAAAACTATTATATTAGAATATATAATTAGTTTCTAAATTTAAATATCAATATTTAATAATATAAATTTGTAAATTTAAATTAGATTTTAATAAATAAAATAATGTTATTTAAGGTTGAGATTTCAATTTTTTAAGAGTTATGGTTGATATACATTTTTCTCATTTTTTATTACATATAGGACCCTACAAGAAATTCCCCAAAAATTTCATGGGGAAATTTGCTTCCAAGCTTGCCCTAAGGAGGAATATTCTAGGAATCTCTATTTTCATGGTAGGGATCCTTGCAAAGCTCCACAGGGATTGTAGAAAATTGCCATCCCTAAGCAAATCTTCTATTGTTAGTGTTGTAAGTTTAGCTTCCATTAGATATCTTTTATTTTTTTGGATTTTTATTTTTAACATTAGAAGCTAATTGTTTTTGAACTGAAGTTAAATTATTAGAAGCTAACTGTTGAGCATTGTAAAGGTTTTAACTTCAAACTTTACTTTAAATTAAAAATTTTAAATTAATAGGTATAAAATTAGTCAAATTTTTGTTGGTTCCATTGGCTTCTTGTGGCTTTGTGTTTCTCTACTTCATGTATCATATTTGTTTATCAATGAATTTATAGTTCTTTTTTTGATAAAATAAGAAAAATGATGTATGCACATTCTGTCATCACACCGTCCATCACACACACACTCCATCTCCGTTTCTCTCTGTTTATCTTCGTTTCTTTCGTTAACCAAGCAACTCTCCTTTTCACCCAACACAACTTTCCTCTTCACCCAACCTTGGTTCTTTGATTTTCTTTCCCTCTCCTCCCCCTCTTCTTCCTTCTCTTCCTCACTCCTTCTAGGTTTTGCATCTGGGTTGCAAAACCCAGATCTAAGTTCTGCAACAAAACCCATATGTAGAACCCGATCTGGGTTTTGCTGAATAGCAAGGTGACAAAAAAGGAAGGGAAAGAGCAAGAACTCGCCGCCATTAGGTGTCTTTAGAGTTAACGGAGTAAATAACGGAGTAAATAACGGAGTTAATAGATTAAGTAATGGAATGAAAGTGTGTAACAGAGGGTGAGGAATTGCGATGTGTGCCAATCATTGTCCTAAAAATAAACATTAGTGTTTCATTAATTATAAGATTTTTGGGTTTCTTTATTTATTTTATTGATGTTTTATTTACCTTTTTTTAATTTAAAATTGATTTTATTCCTAAGGTTAATTAGATTCCCAAAACTGATTTTATTTGATCTCAAATTAGTTTCATTTTCAAACTTAAAATGCTAATCTACAAGTACTTGAAAAATAAGATGAATTGATTTTTTATTTATTTATTTTTTAATTTTTTAATATTTGGTAAAACTGGTTGGTGCTTAACTAAACCATTAAGATTTGAATCCTTAACCCTATAGGGCTTGTTTGGTTATATGATGAAACCAGTCAAAGTCTTCCATTATAATATATTTGGATAAAAATTTAAATGAAAGTGAAGAAAATGAAGGGAAAGGGAAGAGAGTGGAAGGATTAATATTAATTTTGTTTATATAGATTAAAAAAGAAGA